TCCTCTTTGCATCGTGCCTTTTCTTTGAGCACGGTTCGTAAGTCGGATGATCTGGGTAACTCTGTTTGTCTAGATCTAGTTTGGTGCGTATGTGAGGGCCAATACGTGCTTCCTTCAGTGTATGATCTTTCAGATCTCGTCCTCTCAGACCTAGAGTGACGAGTTTTGGAAGACCTGGATTGAGTATCGCCTGTCCTGAGGCTTCTGCTCTCTCCTTGCGAGGGTGTGGTATTCCTACTACGATTTTCTGAGTGGTGAGGAGGCATCTTGTTTTTGCGCCCCTCTCCTGTCGCCACTTCTCTTCTTTTCATCTGGCGCTTTAAGGCCTCCATGTCCGCCGCCATCTTCCTTATTAATTCATCTTGCTCCTTCACGCGGTCTTCTAGAGCTTGAGGATCAATCCTCCGTTTTCGCCTGTCAGGACTTTGCGAACGAGATTGACGGGGGCTGTGAGTCCGTCTTCCCCTAGTATCTCTCCTGGGGTTATGTTGTTGGGGCTCCAAATCTGCCATGGGAGGGATAGAAGGTAATCCTTCACGCCTTGCTCCCCCATTTGGAGTTTGCCCGTCGATGGCGGAATGTGGCAATTCTTCAATGTGCGCCATTGTTTGTAAAGAGGAGAAGCTTTAGTCAAGAGGTTTTGTTCTGTCTGCAATTCCCACAGACGGCGCCAATTGTACGGGAAAGAAATAAACCTTCTCGTATAATCCTGTTGATCAAGTCTGCGCTCCTCTGTACGTCGTCGCTTTATCACCTGAAAACACAAACGTGAGCTAGCCAGCGGGTGTGTGCCGGAAACCTCACCGATGCCTGAGTCAGTAAGCTTGACAAATAGACAAAGGCTCTGTGTATTCAGAAAGCAAAGTTATGTGTTACCTCTCCAAAGGTGATGTTTATGAGCTTTTATAGGTTTTGTGTGGCACAATCCTAGTAGAACTTCTACTCCTCCACGCAGAGTCCTCCTAGGATTCATACTTCTGAAAGATAATGCTTATCCTTCAACACCCCCCTCACTGCGTAAACCAAGTGAGATGGTTTTTACCTTGACCGAACTCCAACATGACCGAAGTAATCATGGCTATGCTGAGCCGCAGAGTAGGCCGAACTATCATTAGTCCGGTTCTTCCTTTCGCTACACCTTATCTCGGTTCTCTCATGCATGAACCATGGTATGTTTAGACCGAGCTACCGAGTAGCAAGGTTCTGACCGTTCTAACCACAATATGCCATGACCAGACTAACTCTGAGACCGGCCTAACTCTAAGTCGCTTCCGGACCGGAGTAACATTACATTTATCTCGGGCCAGAGTAATTTTGTACCTCTCTTGGGCCGGAGTAACTTTACGGCCTTTTTACTCAGCCCTTCATATTGTGGGCCATAATGACCATCTCCCAGCTCGGCCTAATTTTCACAAAAATTACCCTCTCAAAAAATAACTTAACTCTTTGTGAAAGTCTATTGATCTCCCATTATGATGGTTATATCGGGTTTGGACTAGTTGATTTATTGACTGTTAAGCTTTGTTAACAATATAATTATTGCGGACTAGTGATATATTTTATAGTTTTGCAACAGAGCTCTAATTAGAGTTGCTCCAAAACAGCTCTAATGAGCTGGCACCACATATAAAATTAAAAAAAAAATAAAATAGTGAGATAAAAGACAAAACATGAGGGAAAAAAAGACAAATTAATACTCCATTCGAGTTCTCTTTTTAGAAGTCTCACTTATTTTTCTATATTTTATGATGAAAATAATTATTATATTTGTAATTACTCTCCTATCCATCTAAATAAATAAATCAATTCTCTTTCAATTCATTATTTCATTCCAAATTTTTCTCCATCCTTTTATTTATTTTTTTAATTTAATTTAAATTAAATTAAATTAAATTTATTTATTTTGAATTGCAACTGCTTTAGTCTCCGTTTGGCAAGAGCTAAATGGGGCTTTTTTGTATTTATTTATTTTTAATTTAAATTAAATTAAATTAAATTTATTTATTTTGAATTGCAACTGCTTTAGCCTCCGTTTGGCAAGAGCTAAATGGGGCTTTTTTGGCTATTTTAGCCACAAAAGACAAAATAGGCTATTTTAGCCACAAAAAACAAAACATCACATCCAACCCATAATCATTACATTCTTCTCTCACAAAAAAAGCCAAAAAAACCAAAAAGCCAAAAAGCCCTTCCCAAACCAAACTTTTTAGCCCAGGCTAAAATAGCCAAAAAAGTCAAAAAGCCAAAAAACCAACCCACTTCCCAAACGGAGGCTTGTCTGAAATTGTAGTACAAATCATAATTAAAGAATAAAAGTAAGAACAGACCCAAGAACCAATAATATAAGTGGTAGAAAATAGATATCTAACTAAAGTGTAGTGGCATTCAAGTCAATGAGATTTTGATTTTTTAAATTTAATGACGTGGTGCTCTATCAAAACATTTGAGCCTCTGTTTGGCAACTTGGTTTTCAGGCTTTTTTGACTATTTTAGTCACAAAAAACAAAATAGGCTATTTTAGCCATAACAAACAAAACATCACATCCAACCTATAATCATTACATTCTTCTCTCACAAAAAAAGTCAAAAAAGCCAAAAAGCCAAAAAGCCCTTCCCAAACCAAGTTTTTTAGCCCAGGCTAAAATAGCCAAAAAAGCCAAAAAGCCAAAAAGCCAACCTACTTCCCAAACCAAGCCTGAGGCAGTTTTTTATCTCATATTTTTTTTAATTATTAGTTAATTATATTTTTTTACATATTATTAGATTTAGAAAATAAATTTAAAAATAGATTTCTATATCATTTTCCGTACTAAAATTAAAAAAGAATAATATTGCGAACAATAATACTACAAATTGAAAATAAATATCCAAAAAAAGTAGCTTTAAAATATATTTATAAATTACAATCATTCTAAATAGAACCTATGTCACACAAACTTTAATTAAATATACTTATTTAGGAATAAATTTCTAGACATTTTTTTCATGGCTCATACATACACACACACACCTATCTATATCTCTCTCTCTCTCTCTCTCTCTCTCAATCTTCTAAACCCTCAACTGACCCACCCTCAAAGCTTAATCCCATTGTCCTCCTCTCCCTCTTCCCATCACCACCGATCTCAGATTGATGGGACGCCGTGAAGAAGACTCCACCGACACCAAACTCGCCTTTGCCGATCTCTTCATTGCCGCTGTCTGGTTCATCTCTGGTTATTTCTCCAATCAGATTTGCCGTTGTTGTTGTTGTTGTAGACCTCTGTTGTTGTAGTAGATCTCCAGTTTTCTTTGGTTGAATTTTTATCATTTTTTTTCTTCAAAAAATAAAAATTTGATTCACAAAAATAAATACCAAAATAATATTTTAAAATTTTTAAAAATCTTTCCGAAAAACGGTTTATTACATAAATTCTCTCCAATGTATACGTTCCATTACACCTTAATTGTCAATATTTAATTATTCTACCTTGGTTCTCAAAATATGCACGATATCAATCTGTTCAAAATCAATAAAAGGTGGAAAAGAATTCTCAGAATTTTATGGGAAAAATATGTAACACAAAAATACGTTTCAAAAATGTATTTTTTTTCCATATACACCATTGTTACGCATTTTTATACTAAATATTATGTGATTTTTTGGTAAAGTTATATTAATTTGTGATTCAGAAATGATGTTAAGCATTTTGTATTACATGTCATTTTATCCAAATATATTTTAAGGTAATGTTACACATTTTTTTTTTTAATTTTACCAAAAAATATGTAATATTTACCATAAAAATAATTAAAAAAAAAAAGCGTAATATGCACCACAAAAATATGTAACATGTATCATGGAATTTCCATTTTGAACAACATGTACTAAAGTGTAACTTATAGCATACTTTGGAAAACAAAAATGAAAAATTAAAGATTGAAAACGAAAATGTAACATTTTTTTTTTTTTTTGAACGGCGAAAACGAAAATGTAACATAATGTTGTATATTTTGAGGACTATTAGTATAATTAATCCAAAGACAAAACTATACGACAATAATGAATGTCTTTTAATTTTAAATTTTTTTCTAAATTAATTTTAAATTTTGGAAATGATTGAAATGTTATTTAAAATCATCTTCATTCAGGACATGAACGAGGAGGAGGAGGGAAGTGAATCTAAAGATGATAATAGCCCAGTGAGAAGTCCCAGTTCAGAAATTCATACAGAGAAATGAAATTTTACTTTCTTGTTAAATTAAAATTTTCCATTTTCAAATTGTTAGTATAACATCCTGTTGTATTTCTAGTATAATAATGACAACTGTTTGTTTTGCCCTGCTCTTGAAAAAATTCCCAAGCTGTTCAACCTTATTGGTGTCTCTTGTTCTTGAAAAGCAGTTTTAAATTTATAAGGAAATGTGGAAACATTTATCAGAAAATGTTTATTTATTTATATTTTCTAGCATTTGGTACAGCAGAAAACATTTCCCCAATTAAAATCTTATCAACGCCATTGCATAACCACCACTATAAAGTCACAACAAAACATAGAAAATGCTTTTTACTGAAACAAACAAAACGTTCATAAAAAATTAAATTTTATAACATTCGTAGTGGATGTTTGAAAAGTTGCTATTTTAGTAAACTATTTTAATTTTTAACTATTTTAGGAAGTTAAAATTTTTGTATTTGGAAAGCTAGTTGAATTTTTTTATAGTTAGATGTAATTTTTGTTAGAGAAAAAGTGAAATGATTATGGATTTGATGTGACCTTTTGTCTTATTGACTATTTTAGCCTATTTTGTCTTTTAGTGTTATTTAAGCCAAAAAAGCTTCTTCCCAAACACCCCTGATGCTCCTGCCGCGAGTGAAGTGTTTCAGAAAGCTATTGGCATAATTCCACATAGAGACCCCCAAAAAAAACACAAAAAAATATGTTGAAAATACTAAGCAAGTTTTGGGATGGCAATTTGAACCCGGCCTGACTGGAACCCATCCCGTCTCATCCCCCTAAGAAGTCGAACCAGAATTGGATCCCGATCTCACCGATAAACGATTCGAACAAGGAGAATCCTCATCTGGTCAACGCCGCTCCGGCGAAGATTGAGTCAATCGATGTGTCCCTGGCGGAGGAGCTGAGCGCGATCCGCCAGAAGATCGAACGGCTGAGATTGGACAGAGAGAAGACGGAGAAGATGCTGAGACAGAGGGATTTGGTGATGGAGACGAATTTGAAGGAGATGGTGAACAGAGGTGAGGTCCAGAAGCTTCTTGAGATCGAGGTCGATAGGTTGTTTCGGCTGAAGGAACTCAAATCTTCGTGTATGGTAAGAAAATGTCTGTTTGGTTACTCGGAAAATGCAAATTCTGCTGAACTGAGCTTCTTGTTTTTTGCTACTTGATTTTCCTGCGATTTTCTCAGCTACCAAACGGGAATTAATGATTGATTTATTTGATATACTGTTTCATTTGAGTTATTGTTGACTTGTTTTAACATTTTTTTGATTTTCTTTGGTGAAATATTTGAATCAGAGAATATCTCCGCTTCGATCTCTGAGACAGAAGCAACAGAACTGGGCGATCAAGGAAGACCAATCACAGGCAAGTACAAACGCTATTCAAAATCATTTTCTTTGGTTGAATTTTTATCATTTTTTTTCTTCAAAAAAATAAAATTTTGATTCACAAAAATAAATACCAAAATAATATTTTAAAAATCTTTCCGAAAAACGGTTTATTACATAAATTCTCTCCAAAGTATACGTTCCATTACACCTTAATTGTCAATATTTAATTATTCTACCTTGGTTCTCAAAATATGCACGATATCAATCTGTTCAAAATCAATAAAAGGTGGAAAAGAATTCTCAGAATTTTATGGGAAAAATATGTAACACAAAAATACGTTTCAAAAATGTATTTTTTTTCCATATACACCATTGTTACGCATTTTTATACTAAATATTATGTGATTTTTTGGTAAAGTTATATTAATTTGTGATTCAGAAATGATGTTAAGCATTTTGTATTACATGTCATTTTATCCAAATATATTTTAAGGTAATGTTACACATTTTTTTTTTTAATTTTACCAAAAAATATGTAATATTTACCATAAAAATAATAATAAAAAAAAAGCGTAATATGCACCACAAAAATATGTAACATGTATCATGGAATTTCCATTTTGAACAACATGTACTAAAGTGTAACTTATAGCATACTTTGGAAAACAAAAATGAAAAATTAAAGATTGAAAACGAAAATGTAACTTTTTTTTTTTTTTTTTGAACGGCGAAGAAAAAGATCTTTATTGAAGAAACATACATAGTATGACAAAAACATCAATAAAGAGGAACTAAAAGCTACACACAAGCTTCAAGCTCCAGTTGGCAGAAACCAACAAGAAAAGAGATCTAATATGAACAAGTGCCGCACCTAACTATGCAAATCATGTGCATTGCCTTTTGTATTTACCCTTAAAATATATATTTTTAAAAATCATTCATTCATTCTTTGCGTGATTTTCTCTCTTTCGGCGTTCTTCGTTAAGTTATGAATCAAGCTGTATATGACTGTATATCCATTGTTAATATTAATTAGTATAATCACTAAAGTAGAATTTATCAATTTCCATAAGCATGGTCAAGAGTCTTTTAAACAATATCCTGTTAATTAACTATGCTCCCATACGAATTTTCTCATATCCCATTCAATTAGCACATTACATTATATACGTTTCGCTATAGAGGCACAAAATTAAATTATAAAATGTATTACAGAATAGAGAAAAAGTGATTGGATCCTTGTTTGAGGACTAGATCCAAGTTCTATCAGGCTTCTTTCAAATTTAAATTTGAATTTGATAGAATTGAGGGATTTGTAAAGTCTATCATAAGTCATATTCCGATAATAACAACTGTTCATTTTATAAGTCTTTTTATGTATATCATTCATAAAAAAAATTAAATTAATTTAATAATCACCTACAAGACTTTTTGCATTCTAGTGCCACTTTGGGAAATTTATGTGAATAATGTTATATGCATTAATTAGTATACACACTAGTGTACCAACAGATGATGTGACATAATTTTAAAAGTTTTAAGTATTTGTAATTTGTATAATAAATATGGTCATTAATGATATCATTGTTGGAGCAATCTTCTGTGTAAATAAAATAACTAGAAATAAACTCAAACAAAATAAATAAATAACATACCGGATTTATTTTGTCGAACCAAATAAAATTACAAGACCAAGTCGAGTGTGTGACACTCTGTCCTTAAGACAGATTCGCCCCGCTACGGTACTTACGGTTGAGTGGCGTCTATCTCCCAGGATACAATGATCTTCACAAATTGTAGTAGTACTCCAAACAATTTGTTCGGCGAACCAAACCTTGTGTTCTTACTCTCTGAATTTTGTTCTAAAACTAAAATGAAGAATAATGCACAAATAAAATCTGGACAGCAATTTAGACAATCTACAGACTGATTTTTCGGACCAAAAATGCTGCTGGAATGATGGTATTTATAGGCACAAAATTCTGTCCCAACAGGTGTGTAAACTGCCAAACAGATATGAAACTGTTATAGGACAGATACAAATTGGGAACTGGACAGATCTGCAACTGTGCAGATTTCAATTTTCCGAAGAATTTTTTCTGGATGTTTTTTATTCCCCCACATCTGCTGGAACAAGTCTTGTATTAATAGACCCGAACAGGTACATAAAAAGGTGAACAGATGATATTTGAAATGAACAGATGTCTTTCAAATTTCAAACGATTTGCAACTGTTTCAATATATTTCAAGCCGTTGTACAGGAACAGTTATACATCTTTCAAACAATTTGAAGAAGTAGTCAAAGGAGACTAAATTCTAAAGTGTTTGAAATATAAATATTATTAAACTATTAGACTAGATAATCAAAATAAAGCCAATAGTATAATAGATTTAATAAAACCTGTTTGGAATATAAATATTAATCTATTTGACAAACTTTAAGAAACTACTTTAGGAATCCAAAAATTTGAATTTAGATTTAAATTAAATTCCCACACTAATTTCTTATTGAAAAAATTCAAAAGAATTTTATTAAGAAATTAATGTTAAACTTGAAAACGATGTCAACTTCCCATTCACTCATAAATGGTTTTGACATTCCATATTCACCGTGTGACTTGCCACGCGGCAAGGAACACTTCACCTCGTCGAACCCACCCTAAACGTTGTTTGGGGTCCACCCAAATTGGGTTAAAAAATATGCCTATATAAAACCATTTTTTCCAACAATCATAACACTAGTTAGTACACTGGTGTGTACACTAATTGGTACATGTAGCACCACCGAATTTATTTAGCCACCAAACCCTTTAACACCCTTGACAAACCCCAAACCGAGGCTAACATGGTATTCCAAAGTACATTTAAAAGAAGTAAGAAAGAACTTGAAGAAGATTGATTCAACTATGTGATTTGCTTGTCCTTTTGAGTATACATGCAATAACTAACAATAATATTTTCTTGAAAAATATCCACAAACATAAGATATGTACAGAATGTGATAATAATATTTTTAAAAAATTAAAAACACAAGTCATTGAAATGGACATTTCTTCTCAGAATGATTAGTCTCAAAACTGTCACATCTTTATGTTAGGTATTATTTGTTTTTGTGTTAACATCTAACCACACAATTAACAAAGATCATTCTTCTGAATTATATCTAGGAAGAAAATCGGTATGCTGAGATGATTCTGTTGATATTTACAGCTGCACGACCAATATTAGTACCTGAATCATCTACGGGAAGGCACTCTCATACCAAAGTCAATAAAAACTCATAATAGACTCAATACATAAATAACTTGAATGTACAAATTCACATGTATCTATTACCTTGACAGTCCTAGAAATGTTTTTCTTGTCTTAAACACATTTCATCTAAGATTCTTCTCCCTGGTTGAGTCAGGGTAAACATCTCTAAAGAGCCCTAACTACACCTACGTAGGACTCATTCATCCACAATGACTCAACTTCCTTACCTTAAACATAAAGTGCCATTTTGGAACTCAAGTAAAAAGTCACGTTTTTTATCCAAAGGGAAAAAAGCTGGCAGCCAAAAACGCAACAAAATTCATTTGGAGAGTCATGAAAACGCAAGTGGTAAAATTATAAATTGGGGCCTATGACAAAAATTTAAAAAAATAAATTTCTTATGTTGAGTAAGAGTATTTTGGTCATTTTAATTTGATTTGACACCATAAACAAATGTTAAACTAAAAAGCCAAAAGTCAGTTTTTTACCAATTTTCCAAATCATTTTTCAAAAAGCTAAATTTTTTTATAAAAAGTCAAAAATTAACTTTTTACCAACTTCCCAAAATATAAGTTTCACATGTTTGTATAGCACTACATATATTAATGTCAAGAATATAAGTTTCACTAGTATCTTCTTGAGATAAGTCAGAGATGGTTTTATAAGATCATCTCTGTCCCATGTGGTGGAATTCAAATTAGAAGCCATAATGTAGAATTCGAATCAGGATGCACCAAATCCCAGTGCAGATTGCAGTTTGGTCGTGCATGCGTGGTGGTCCAGGTGGGGTATAATACATATATTAATCATGTCGTGATTATTATAATTTTTTATCCAAGTTTTATTTAAGTTAAATTGTATTTTTTACCCATTAATTTTTTATTTAAATTTTACTTTCATCCTTCGTTTTCATTGACTAAAATTTCCTAAAATTTATCATTGTAAATTTAAAAAATATATATAATTCAACTACAAATCAAAATTATGAGTATTAAATAATCATTCCATAAATACAAAACACATCTAAAAAATCTCAAAAAAAAAAAAAATTATTATCAGAACAAGGAATGAATAAGTAAAAAAAAATTGCCATGACTTATAAATATAACTCCACCCAATTGAACTTAGTGACAATTATTCCTAAAAGGTATATGGGTCAAACAAACCACATACCGGAGAAAGAATTTTGCCACGTTAGATCATCTCCAATGGTGAATTAAACTTGTTATCAGATTCAAATTTTAGTGAAAAAAGTACTTTTTGGTGCTCCAACCGTTTCACCAAATTGATATTAAAATGAAAATTCAAAAAAACAAAATCATCAAACTGAGAATAAGGTACTGATTTTACCAAATTACTATTCCTGACCGTTAAAGCAGAAAAGCTTGAGAATTTTACACATGATGGTCGACCACCCGGTTGACTAACCGGTCGACCAGTGCATGCAAACATTGGCCTGTGAACTAGTTCAAACAGTTCAAATAGATAGGTTCAAACAGTTCAAAAAGGTTAAAAAAAATTGACTTTACTGGTTGACCAACCGGTCGACCCACCAGTTGACCCACGAAATTTTGATGCACCATTGGAGCAACTGATATCAAATTCAGAAAATGAATCATTTTTTTGGTGAAAAAAAAATTCACCGTTGGAGATGCTCTTACCGAGCAAAAGATCAAATCAAACGATCCAAGATCATCAAAGTACAATCTTTTGCAGCCATGGCTTCGTTTGAGAAGTTGCTATTTTAGTAGGCTATTTTAGTTTTTAGCTATTTTAGTAGGCTAAAATTTTTGTGTTTGGGAAGATGATTGGATTTTTTTGTGATTGGATGTGATGTTTGTGAGAAAAAAAGTGAAATGATTATGGGTTTAATGTGATATTTTGTCTTATTAACTATTTTAGACTATTTTATCTTTTTGTGAATTTTAATTTAAACTACGCTATTTTTTTTTTGTTGCCAAACACTATTGGATCTGATGGTCAAGAAGTTTTTTACCTTTTTTGGGCTAAGATATTTGGAGTACCTTTAGAAGTGCACAACACGTGATCAACACTCAACCACACTTAATCCTATGCATTTAATTAGAAATCAGCTAAGTTTGAATGAAAAATCAGCTACGTTTGAATGAAAGAGTCTCATTAATTATGCAAAACGTTTAAAAATACAAATACTAACCACAGAAATGGACAAAAAAAATAATGAATAAACAATAAATGTATAATCAAACACAAAACGAGACATAGATATCTCACAAGGGTCTCATCTCTTATGAGACATTTATATTTGATCTATGTTCTAAACATTGCTGATGAACAAAATATTTCTAGTGGGCCTGATAAGAAATTCATTCATGGGTTTTCTCAATTTTATATTTGATTTTTGTATTCTTAGATTTAGTATTGTTTATTAATAACACAATAAACCTAGAGAAAGGGAATATATATATATACAAAAATAAATAAGTACATTGATGGACAAAAATTTGCAAGGTCTTAAATTTTATAAAATCTTAATAAATTTTTAGTTTCGGCATTCTTAGTCATAGTGTTTAATAATGCCATAAATCTAAAAAAAATAAAAGCTAAGCACAACACTAGATACAAAAATAAATAAATATATATATATATATAATAATAAAATAAATATAATAATAAATAAAAATAAAAAATCAATGTGGTCAGACTAATAAATTTTATAAAAATATCTTAACTTATTGTTTGATTATGCAATAAGCATAAAAACCCAAAAAACTTAATTAGGGCTAAAAATGAGCATAATTGAACTGAATAATAGGTAGGTTATTTGAGCTTGGTTTGATAACAAGTTTAAAATTATATTCAAATTTGTCTAGATTATATAATGAGCTAAATACAAATTGAGCTCGAATAGCTTAATCTTTTATAGTACGTATAGGCTTATTGAGTTGAATAATAAGTTATTCAAACTTGGATTGAAAACTTCACAATTTTAAAATTGTGTCCATATTTAGTTTATTTACGTAACGAGTTAATCTCGAACGAATTTTTAACGGATCAAATACGAATCAAACATGAATAGTTTGGTTCGTTTAACACTCCTAAACTTAACATAAAACTCCGAAAAATGCTATTGATCCCAAATGTTTTACCGAATATTTTAACGAATGTCCACATGTGTGTGAGAGCATAAAATGCTAAAAACTCCAAATATTTTACTAAATATTCTACCAAATGTCACACCATGTCCGTTTCATGTGGATCCCACATCAATGTGATATATGATAGAATATTTGGTAAAACATTTGATGTCTCTAACATTATTATAAAGAATGATGATATATGCATCAATTAGTGTGCTAATTAGTATATCAATGGATGATATGACATAATATAAGAGGTTTTTGGTATTTGTAAGTCATATAATGAATATGGTCAATAATAATATCATAATTAATATTAATACACTAATTAATATATTAATTGATATATATATATAATACTACTGTATTATAAAACTCCATAATAAATAAATAAAACATTTGATGTCTCTAACATTATTATAAAGAATGATGATATATGCATCAATTAGTGTGCTAATTAGTATATCAGTGGATGATATGACATAATATAAGAGATTTTTGGTATTTGTAAGTCATATAATGAATATGGTCAATAATAATATCATAATTAATATTAATACACTAATTAATATATTAATTAATATATATATATAATACTACTGTATTATAAAACTCCATAATAAATAAATAAATAAATAAAAGCAATGATGAACAAATTTATTTCAAAGTTGGCGAGATTGCGATATTACAGATTAGGATGGAAATTAATTATAAAAGCGTTACAACAAATAAATAAATGATAAATAACACCACTTCACTCTCCCTCTCCCCGTCTCCCTCTCTCTCTCTTAACAGACATCACACATGATTTCATAACATTCCCAATCTCTCTCTTTCTCTCTCTCATCAACTATAATTCACACCTATATGTATATATATGTTGAACTGGTTTTGGGTAGTTTAGAAAGAGAAGATTGTTTGCAGGTTCAGAGGAAGAAGAAGAAGATGATGAAAACATTGTTTCGCGTGTGTTAAGGTTTGGAGTCTTTTCAAAGAAAGAAGTGGTGTTGTCTTTTTTTAATCATTAATTAGAATTGATTTCTATATATGAATTGTTTATTCATCATAATTGACTAATTGAGTTTTAATTGTGTGTATATGTCAATCAATAAAACAGGTAGTGGATAGTGATTGCCCAATTCATTAAGCAAACTTTCTCTCTTCTTATTTTTTCTTATACTTTCTCTCTGTTTCTCGAGAAAGTGAGGGAAAATGGCGGAAAATCCCAAATTGGTGAGCATCAGTTTTATGGGTCTTGTTTAGATTTTTCTTTGACACTGTTTCATTTGACCCTCGATTTTTACAAATTTTTATCAATCGAATAACCGAAATTTTCTCTCTAATTTTCTTTCTCAGGAAAGTTCTGATATTCTGAGCCTGTCTCGCGAAGCTTGTGAATTAGACGAAATGGGTTCCCAGAAAATCTCAGTTTCTGATCAAACAAATAGCTTACAATTCACGAACATCAAATCCGATAGCTTCATGGTAGACGTAGAAAGCTTGTCTCCTCTCACCGATAAGGACATAACTGCAAATTCGAGAATCAAAGTAAGTTTTTGTTCTGTTTTTGTTTTTGTTTTTGTTTATAGTTGTTCTGTTTCTTTGATTGTACTCTGTTTTGTTTTGTCTCAAATTACTCTGAATTTATTTTTCTTTTCAATTTCCAAAAAAGATTGGTACCCATTAAATTTTATTTTAATGACATGTAAAACATTGAGTAATGAAGTTTCCAAAACATCTTCACAATAAATAGAGCTGATGTTCATACAACAAGACATACATTATGTAAAATTTCTATAAATATTTAGATTTATTCTTTTTCAAAATAAAATGTAATTGAAACCATTTATTGAATTTTGCTTCTTTGTTTTTTACTATTGAATGTCTTTTCAATCAATTATCACTTTACCCTTTATTCTCTTGAGTAGTACTAACAAATATACTATACAAAAATTCTTTGCTTTACTTTAAGCCAACATTTTTCAAGTCCAATGAATTGTGAAACTTTATGAAGAATAATCTTTATCTTTCATTTACTTGTGGATATGTATGAATTTACGACGTGTTTGGCTTTGCATAAAAAGTTGCAGAGAAGCTTTTCAAGAAAAGGATCACAACAACGAGGCAGCGAGAAGAAGATTAATTCAAGTAATGCTAACGAGAAAGAAACTAATATTGTTAGTTCAGCTTCGCCAAGAGGTAAAAAAACAAGAGCCATATTCCAAATTCATGATTAATTTAAAATGGGATACGAAATACGAAACATTTTAAGTTCAGATCCTCTGATCTCAAAAAACGCAACGTATATAAAGGGTTATTTTGAGAAGTAAGTTAAAGTTCTTTTAACTTTTTTGAAAAAATTGTATAAAAAAATAGAGAGATGATGTAATCTAAATAGATTAAAAAGTCAAAAAATTGACTTTTAACCAGCTACCTAAAAGAGGCCAAAGTATGAGAAACACAATGTGACGACAACGTCAAGAAGTAAAGCAGAGGACGCCATATCCCCTGTTTTCCAAGCTATTGCTTCCAAAACATATTAAAACTGCCTTTGTCTAGTTTGAGTGTAATTATGTGTGTTAGTTCACTTAATTATCTTCTACCTTACGATAAAATGGTTCCTTAAAAATACGTTTTATGTCACTTTGGTAGTTTAAGTTTCAATTTTGTCAATTTGTTTTCTTAAAAAAGTTTTTCCTCAATTGAGTTCGATTGATCCAATAACATACGGCCGTCAAAATGGTTAATGAAAAATTATAAAATTAACCTATGATTCCTAAAATATGCATTTCGAGTCACTTTTGTAGTTCGAGTTTCAATTTTGTCAATTTTGCCCTTTAAAGCTCTAAAACTATGTTTTATCTTCTTCATCAATGTTTAGAGACCAAAGTGATATGAAACTCATATTTAGAAATTATAAATGTATGTCATTACTATTCTATTAGCCAATTAGACAAACTTTTTCAAATTCAACCAATTTTACTCAAATTATATAATTCAAAGAGAAAATTGACAAAATTAAGATTTGGATGACATGTGACACGGAACACAATTATTTAAGGATCATAAACGTAGTTTATCTTATTATGAAATTTAGCATAAAAGCAAGGCCAAAGTACTATTATGAGGTGGTTGGTGTTTCACTGTTTTATTAGTTCAGATGTGAGACTGATTCGGATAACTTAACAAAACTGATTAAAATGAAGATACCAACAAATAATTAAACATTATTTGTGAGACTGATTGAAATCAAGATTCCAAAAAATAATTTAACATTAATTTAGATCAATAAGCCAAAGCATGTCTGATGTTTATGATCAGAAGTACACGGTATGTCACTACCAACCTTTAACCATCATTTTTATGCAATAATCAATTCATTAGTAAGCTAGTTTCTTATTAACCAGTTCTTTCTGATACAATTAACAGCTACGAATTAATTAATGTATTAACGACATGCTTTTTTAATATTTCTAATCCTTATTCTAAATGCTCGGCACAGTTGGATATACTGCTTAAACAATGAAACAATAAATGATTAAACAAAACAAAGTTGGCGTAAAAAAAGGGTTACCCCATAATCTATTATTAATATTATAATTGTATTATTTGATGAGCTTTGTTGTGGGGTTGATGTTGGTTGAAGAAGATTAGATTAGTATTTATATATAAAGCAATACAAAATAGAGTATAGTTTATATAGTAGCAAATTTAGGGTTTTGAACCTTTAATATAAAAGGACACAAATACAGAGTGTCATTTCTTTCTTTATGTTATTAGTTTTGGAAGCATGTACACTTTGCATTATAGCATATAAATTATGGGAAGCTAACCTATGCAATATACGTATTCCACATGGTAAAATGCAGCTGCTATAGCTAGGGCTAGCATGCCCGAAAAGCCGATGGTGGTGACAGTGGGGACCACAGATCATCCGATGAACCCGCAAGTCCATCATCAAATCACTATCGTGACCGCCAACATCGGCACCACGACTGCTGAAAGTAGGTGGATGACTAGGAGATTCGGTTTCAGGCGATCTCCTCCCTCTTGGACCATCAATCCGAGGAGAATCCTCTTCTTCTTTGCCACCTTGTAAGTTCGCTATCCACTACTTTTAGTCCATGAATTGACTTCTACAAGCGCCTTCGATGCAGCTGCTATAGCAATTTTCATTGCTATAATGCAAAAATTTAACTTTGACATGTCATTTTGACAATTCAACATTAAAGATGCTACCCAATCCAACATATCTCGTTACTCTATCCGTTGCGAAATTTTCTAATCTTTTCGTCCCAATATACTCAAACAATTACACAATGTAGTGAAAATTTCGAAAGACGTGAATCTAAAAATGCAATCATGTGGAGGAAAGTCTGTCAGGACGAAAGGACCCTTAAACTTTTATTTTTTTTTTATTGAAAAAAGGATGTTGTGCCCTTTTTAACTCCGGAAATGGTTGAAACAATTGTGATTCTGATGGGAATTTAAGGATTTACTTTCTCATTTCTGACAGGTCAAGCATGGGAACTATATTATTGATTTACTTCACACTTTCCATGAGCAAACATAGTGGGGATAACAGTGCACTGAATTTGTAGTGGTGACGAACAAAGCTGCCTCTGAATAGCACAAAGAGAAGCAGAGATGAACTATAGCTTTGAAGTTTTAGAGCAGAGAAACATGAAAGAGAGACAGTATGGACATAACATGATTATGGTCTTGAGTCCCTTTTATGGAACAAACTGGTTTCTTTCAATCAGGCTGTTTGGTGACAAAATCATGGTGGATAGCACTATAAAGAAGATGGAACTTTGAGAAAGTGAAAGCAAAACTAAGACTCTGTTTTGATCTTGAATTTGTAGAGAGAAATAAAGATGAAAGAGAAAAGTGAACGAAGTAGAAGCTGAGTGGTGTTAGGAGTATGGGGTTTAGTTGACCCCTATCAAATTCAAAACAACTAACTGAATACATATAATGTATCTAGTTTTTTATTGGATTTCTCATATGATCACATCAAGTTGAATGAAAAGTATGTAAAAATAAAAATTTTATGACAATCTATACTTCTTGTTTACCATTTGAGATTAATTTAATCTTTTTTGTTTACTATTTTGTAGTCAATCTAGTAAGCAAACCAATATATATATACACACACACAAATTCAAGTTTAGTTCTTTGAAATTGAAAAAATAAATAAATAAATTTAAAAATTAAATTGAGTTGACCTAGAACATAGTTTTTAGAATAATTTCACTCAATAGTAGTTGGTCTGCTGGACTTCACCTTGAGGGAGGGAAATATGAATTATCTCATTGAACAAAATTTCTAGAGCCGCCACTAAGTATATATATATTTTAAAATTTCCCCCTTCTCTTTCTTTTTCATCTATAAATCTTCTACAAACCAAAATTCACACGGATAAAAACAAGGGTTATTGGTTAATTTCACCTTCGGCATTTTCATCAAAATTTCACTTTGCTTGCTCCATTTTCAATTGTGACAATTTAAAAAAAAATGGTTAAAGTCAAGGGGTGCTAAATGTAATTAAACCCTAAAAACATTTACAACTTCCATTAGCAGAGCTGCAAATTTGGGCAGATTTTCCCTTGTGGAGGATACAAACTATATGATTTTGAGAAGAAGACAAGCACAGAGAGCACTATAACAAAGAAGGAATCTTCATTTAATATAAGGAAAATTACAAATCAAAAAAATTTGCATTTGCATGGTGGTACAAATTTTTTGCTTGCATGGTAAAAGTCCTTTCTGTGTGTTGTACCAAAAATAATGCCATTGATTTACAATTTCTCCTTTAATGTATGAATGGAAGATATCATAACACATGATGTGTTTTAGTAACTTTTTGTGGTAGTTTGTGTATCTCTCTCTGCACAGCTTTAATGGAGGATCAGAAAGGTACTTCTGCACTCCCATGCCTTTAAATTCAGCTTCTCTTTTTGTATCCAAACCCCAACCCCCCTTTGTTGTATGTGTCTTTCATGTGATAGTACGCAAAAGGTTAGAGCACAACAATGAGACATAAGCAGATAATAAAGTTCATCCATGTGCAAGGCACTTTTCAAGGTCTTGTGTCTCTCCGATAGAAAATATGGGTTGTTGAACTACCTAGGAATAGGCTGCTGGTGAAACAAAGTTCATATCAATGCAAGTCTATTTTGTATGTTTTCAGAAACAAAAATCATGACTATAATCATGTGCAAGGCACTTCTTAAGGCCTTCTGATAGAATATATGGGTTGTTGAACTATCTAGGCAGAGACTGCTTGTGAAATCATTTTTATTTTTGTGTTTTCAGAAACAAAAACTATGACTGGCTCAAAAACAAACGTCGTTTTCTTTTTTTCTTTTTTTTTTGTTTGTTTCGAAAATTCAGAAAACACTCAAGAACAACTCAAAAGGTTTTTCTTTGAAGGGTAAATAACACTTTTCCCTCTCCAACTTTCTCCTGAATTTCACCTTTGTTCCCCCATTAAATTATTAAATTTCAACTCAAGATTCAATGCAATCCTCTCATCACCCAACAATTTAAACTAGAGTGAAAATTGAAACATGAAAAACAAAATTCAATTTCAAATGAAATTTGAAGGGTGGAAAGTGCAATTTTCTCTCTCTTTAAATTCCCTTAAAATGTGCTCACATAAGCACTTCCTGTCAATTTTTTAAACAGTGAGTGGCAGGAGAGAACTACATTGAAACAAGGGTTGCAATCTACGGACTTAATTGTTACAAATAGAAAATGAAGGACCAAAGTGTGATTCTAATGACCGTTAGAGGGCAGAAAGTGTAATTTACCCTTCTTTAAATTATGCAGTGAGGTTGGCTTGGTCATGTAAATGGACTTAGATGATAGATTTGAATAAATAAATAAAAAATAAAATAAAGGAATGGAAAAAGAAGAAAAGAAAAGAAGAGATGGTTTTAGATATATCCTAAATAAAGGGATCAAAACCACCAGGAGATATAGCACCACAGAGAGCTACACTAGAAGAAATGAGCCATTTGATCTCACTAGAATCTGACAAGAGTGAACCTCCTACTGAAGTTTCATGCAAAATTTCTTTCTACTGAAGAGTCATTTTCCATGGGATTTCAAAAGGTTTCCTGATGGAGGCAAGTGGCAGCAGCCTCTTAAGGTGTACAAGAGACGAGGAAGAGATGCCTCTCAGGCCCAAGCTTTGATTTGGCATGCATTGGATGATGAGCACCTCATTTGGGACCGTGGCTAGTTATGTTTTAGGCTTATGAGTCATGTTTTATTATTATTATTTTAGTTTAGGGTATTTTGGTAATTTCATAATTTCTAGACATGGGTTACACGGGTTGCCCATGGGTCGTCTTGTGGGTCAAGTTATTTGATTAAATTTTATTTATGTTTCTTATTTGATCTTAAATTAGTTTTGGAAGTCGAAACTATTATAGTAGCTTCCTTTTTTGGTTCTAATTGGTTTAGAAAGTTTCTTAGTTCTATAAAAAGCCATGTAATGCTTTTAATTAGATAGACTTGATATTTTAGAGAATTTTAGAGCTTTTAAAGCTTCTTTATGGATTGTGTGATACAATCAAACCCTAGGTGTGATGCCTAAGGAGTTCTAGGAGTGATTCCTTGACTTACCTTCTTCTTCTCCTTCTTTCCTTCTTTTATTTTCTGCACTTTAAACAGCCTAAACACTGTTCACGGGTACTTTCACTGCCCCAGAACAGCTCTTACAGTGCTGTCCTGCATCATTTCCCTTTCTATTATTAGTATTATTATTATTTCAAATCCCATTTTAAATTCTATTCATTCAAGGCATATCAAATTCAATTTTAAAATGCCAATTCCATCAAATATCGTTAAATACCACCATTCCACATGTGAGAAATATGAATCAAGCAGTAGAATCATAGCAACACTAGTTCAATAGGCCAACAAAAGTTCTCTCAACTTAATTAAATACTCAAAACTTAGTTACAAGAAGGTACGCCTTAATTTTGGCATGAATTTCCACACACCATTAAGTAATTGACCTATAGCATTAACATGGGTATAATATTATAACACTTAAAATCCTCAGTTTTTTTCGCTTTATTTCACCTGAGGGAGCAGTAACAAGTATCTGCAGCTAACTCCAGTCTCACAACTGTCTTATTCATATAGTTGAGAGATTGGCTCTCTTCAGTATTAGCATCCCATCCAAGAATGCTTGAGAAAAAATAACTTACCATTTCTAATAGCGCTTCGAAATTCTTGGCATCACACATTTGGTCTTCGGATCGTTGTAAAGCCTCAATATAACTGCTGCTGTCTCTTCAATTGCCTTTCCAGTGACCTCTGCAACCACAGTAACAATGTGACAAAGATTGTTTGAACAACTACCTCATTACACAAACAAACTTCCATTATCATTTGTTCTTCTCTCTAGTTAGTGTTACATGGACTCTTCTATTTCTCTCATAGTATGTGAGATATGTATCCGACACCCGTACCCAATTTAGAAACTTGTGTTCTCTAATTTCATATGATGTTTGAAGAAGAAAAGGATCACATTTGCTATTTCATCCTTCTCACATGAATCAGAAATTAGAAATTTCATATTTTTCCTAAATCCTACTTAATTTCAAATAATTTACATCATCTTAGCTAAGAATATTATACAATATACAACATAATCATTGTTCAGGACATGTCCCGCTGTAGCCATACCAACTTTTGGATACATATGTCAATATCCTAGGATTTACATTTAGGATGGTCTGACACTTGAACATGCACCCGTGCCCGAAACTCATACCAGATTCCATGTAACATAGTTCATTGATGTGAATTTCTAGACGTGAACTAGACATTCCTGTGACTAGGGCTACAGAGATTTAAAAAGATTCATTAAAAACTAGGAAAATGTATGAAACTTCTATGTATACTCACCAATCACCGGCCAAATAGGATTCTGCACGAAAATCCTGCTGGCATATTCCAATTCCTCTCTCACATAGTCCATCTCCGAATAGTTACTCCGCACTTCATCGCTGAAGCCCAAGTTCTTTGCTCGAGCTCTTCTAATTGTTTGGAGTACAACAGGATTTATAGTCAAACAAAAAACCTTCTCCGGATCTACTTCAAAAAGAGTCTTTGGCACCTGAACACCCATTACAATTGGGACATTTGCCACTTTGTATCCTTCGTGAGCCAAATAAGTTGATAGTGGTGTTTTTCCAGTGCGAGAGACACCAGCAAGAATGAAGTCCGCCTTGTGGAGGTTTTGAGGTAAGGCCCCATCATCTTGCTTGATGGTAAATTCAATAGCATCAATCCGTCGGAAATATTCTTCTGTAAGATGGGAAGTCCGGCCCGGTGCTCCACGAGGGAGGCCAGAAGGCGAGACACCTAGATGAGTAGCAATTGCCTCGGTAATTGGGCCCAGTATATCAGTTGATGGTATATCCCATATCTCGCAGGCTTGTTTGGCAGATTGAGCCAAGGAAGGGTCAGCTAGAGTATACGCCAGCATTGCACCTTCTCTAGCTGCTTGCTTTACAATCTCCATTAGTTGCTCCACATCACCAATCTGACAAATGATAGCGAAATGAGTACAAGGTTTTGATGAAATACATAAAAACTAGTCTGGTAAATGGATAAAAACATACAGTAATCAAGAAGTTACATTGTCACAGCAATCTAGTCCATTTCCATTCTATGATTTTTAGAATAATGAATGATGTGATTCAAATGTAATCTGAAATCAGAGTGGTTTTCTCATAATAATATCCCAGGACAAGATTATGGATTGAAGACTTTCCTAGCATTGTTTGGCACACTGGAAAATGAAGTATAGTAACAAGTGTTGAACAACAGCCCAATCCCACTCTTTTATTTTATTTTCTATTTTTAGTGAAGCTCTAGAAGATCAAAATTCTTCATTTTCCAAAACCCCAAAGGCACCACTTTACCAATCTTACCAAATATAGCAATCAACCTCAATCAAGATTGAGTTTCTAACCTTGGTACACCATTAAGGATTAACATTGTGCCAATGAAATGTCTGTCATCACAAGTATTCAACTCCACATAAAAGCATAG